CACGCTCATTCACATCCGCACCCTCGGCCTCACTGTTATTCACATCCGCATCATCCCCCTCATTGTCATTCACATCAGCACCCTTACCCTCACGCTCACTCACATTCGCACAATCGCCCTCATTCTCATTTGCATCCGCACGTTCATCTTCATTCGTATCCGCACCCCCACTCTCATTCACATCCGCACCCTCGCCCTAATTCCCATTCACATCCGCACCCTCATTCTCATTTTGTGCCCACACCCTCACATCGTAGTAAATAAATTTATTCAATAACATACCTCGACATGTTGGTGAATTGATATTAATACAATCTAATGTACTTTCCGATATAATTTCATTATAATTACATGGTTCATCAATACATTGACATGTATATAAAGTTGAACTTTCTTCAATACATCTTTCCAATGATGAACAAGGATTTGATGAACATGGTGATTGATAATCCTGTTTAAACTGACAATGTTGTCCATAATAATGATTTAAACATAAACATTTTATATTCCATTGATATTTTGGTATTAAACGTTGATATGTATTATAATAAAAATAATCATATTGATTTGAAAATAGTTTAATATGACTTGTACAACGACCATTATTTTCACATGAATTTACTTGACATTGATTGATTGAAATTTTTTCAATTGATTTTATATTTGGAATTTTTTCAAAAAGATTACTTGAATTTTTTAATACATTATAAACTAATTTTTTATGTATATAACGTGGTGGTCTTAAACGTGATGGATAACGTATAATAGCAATAAGTAATTCAATTTGATTAGGATTTTTAAAATTAAATGAATATATATGTACATGACGAATATGTACACCAATAATTGCTGCTAAATGTTCACGTACTAAAGGTAAACTATTCATTATAAATTGTTCATATGTTGATTTCGGATTTAAATTAATTAATATTGATAATGTACGATCTAACATTTCACGATCAATTAACCATAAATGTACATCAATTGAATGAGATTTTACTGAAGAATTTATATTTGTTGGAAGATAAATAATTGTATTATTTGAAAAATTAATATTTGGTATTGATTGATTAATAGCAATAGCTGTTAATTCAATTTGATATTGTAATAAACGTTGATGTTTTTGTTGTTGAGAATATTGTTGTAAAGAATTAAAATAAAGTTCCGTTTGATTATTTGATATTTGTTTAAGAAAAAAATTTGTATTTGATATTAAATTATATAATATAAATTTATATTCTGAATGATTTTGAAGAAATATTTCACCAAAATTTACTCTAGAAGATTGTTCTTCTAAGTTTATATACCCATCTATGGTTTGTGGAAGAATTGTTGGAAGTTCTATTTGTCGTTGAAGATATATTAAACGAAGATATAAATCAATATAATATGGAGATAATAATGTATCATTATCCCAAACACGAATAATTAAATTATCTTCATGATCAACAAGAATAGGTTCAAGTAGAATAAGTTCAGTTGTATTTCCATTCAATTGAATTTTATATGATGAAAATGTATTATTAAAAATTTCAAATGTTAAATTTGAATAATCTTTATCAATAATATCAATTCTATGAAGAACTGTATCAACCGATGGTTGATAAAAATAAACAAGTGTTGTAAAATTTTTCGTTAAAATTTCCGGATGATTATCATTAATATTACCAATGTATATTGTTAGATTTAATGAAGATAATGGAATAGACTAAAATAAAAAAATATATACAGATTAATTATTTGTTATGATTAAAAGTACTCAATGACTGGATATAAGTTTT